TGGCCTTATAATTCGAAAAAAAAGGGGGGGGGGGTGTTAGGGCTATTGTAGCCTAGAGGAAGAGGTTTTCACTGTAAGGGGGGCATTTTTGATTGTGACGGTAGATGTGTGTTCATACTACTGACCCCTGTTTTCCGTGTTACCTACTACTGACTCTTGTACTGTGTGTTACATACTACTGACCCTTGTACTGTGTGTTACATACTACTAACCTCAGAGCTCTTCATTGCTTTCTCCTGACCCCTGCATTGTAGATTACTGTCTTCTGACCCTTGCACTCTGTTACATACTACTAACTTCTGAACTCTACATTACTTACTGCTAAACCCTGCATTCTGCGTTACTGTCTGCTGACATGTGCACTCTGTTCTATAATATTAACCTCTGCACTTTGCATTACATACTACTAACCTCTGAACTCTGTGTTACTTACTTCTGACCCCTGCATTTTGCATTACTGTCTCCTGACCCCTGCACTCTGTTACATACTAACCTCTGAAGTCTACGGTACATACTCCTGACCCCTTCACTCTGTTATATACTACTAACTTCTGCACTCTGCATTACTTACTTCTGATCCCTGCACTGTGTTACATACTACTGACCTCTGCACTCTGCATTACTTACTCATGACCACTGAACTCTGTGTTACTGCCTAATGAACTCTTCAAACTGTCCTTACTTTTTAATGGGCCCCTGGTAGGTTATCTCCCAGTGCGGCAGATTGGTGATCTTTGATCTCTTCCATATTGTTGCCTACCCCTGGTCCAAGCAGACCAAACCGAACTGTTATGGATATGCAACTGTAGAATCTTTGTAAAAAGACAACAGCTAAGCTTTCATTCCTATCTCTAACCACTCCTCCGGGATGCTGTTAAACGCAGACAGCAGTGACATATGACTCACTGGGTGCTGCCACTTTCTTCTCATCCAGCATACAGAAGGTGAATCCAGGCTGTTCGATAATGCGTGCTATGACTAAGCCTAAATCTACCTTCTCTATGATGCATGATAGGCAAGATAGCAACACCCAATGATGGAATAACAGGGTCCCTGTTGGAAAAGATTGGAGCAGAGTTTATGTTCATGAATTATGCACCAGTGAGGTTTTTTTTAAAAGATAAACGGTTCACATATGGTGGCGGTTTCTGTAAACTTGGGAAAAGGAAATGGCTCTTTTAAAAGCAGTAAAGAAAGTAGTGGCACCCTCCTGGATAAGTAGTGTGGCAGGGGTGTACGAATAGTAAAAGTGGCTCAGCAGAATGACAAATATTTTGGCAGATTGGAAGCTAAATTTGGGGATAAGTAAATATTCTCTAAATACAAGAGTCATGTGTATTCTTCCTTGAATCTTGTGTATTTCTTCCAGATCTGTGCAGTAATCCAGTGTGAAACTTTGCCTCTGTGCAGGAGCTTCCTGTACTAAAGACCGATCACTGCTGTACTCTTTACTTGTGCAGGGTGACTGGTCTTTTCTCCACCTCTCCATGTAGATTTCTGCATGGAAACCCTGTAGTGGGTGGAGTCAGTTTAGTCCCTCCCACAGCTCTTATCTCACATGCCACTGTTACTTTAACAAGCTAATATATTGGTTTTCAAAAGAAGTTTAGTCCACACAAAGTTGATTTATATCATATGTGGCTATATGAGGAATATATCTAAATGAAAGATTTTGTGTCTGATGTTCAGCTTTATATAT